ACTGAACTCAAAGGGAACCCCAAATGTAATTATCCCCACGACACTTGGCTACATGCTCTTGGGGCATGAGCAGATGAGTGCGGGATGGAGTCTAGAACAGAGCCCTTGAAAGGGAGCAAACCAGGAACAGGACTGAAAGCGAGGTTTTAATTATGAAAAGAAGCGAACTGAACTGTGGGAGGCATGGAGTCTTGAGGCCGCATTCGCCGTATGCTGCCTTGCACTTCGCGTCTCTGCAACGGGACTGTGGGACGACTGCTGCAAGCAACAAAGACTGAATGTCTGATCACTTGCCAGACTTGCTTCAGGTCTTTTCTTTCTCGCAGCGGTGCTGTCAGAAGTGTCGCCTGCCGGTTCGCACCAACAGAGCGCACGGATGGCGAACAAGCGAATCAATCATCATGATTCAATCATCTGATTTGCCTTGGTTCGAGGTTCTCACCAGGAGAGCACTCGCGCTCATGATCGGCAGAAAACTGCGCTGCGCCAGCATGCCTCAAGAACCACGTCCGGGCTTCTCGCCGAACGCTAAAAGTCTCTGTCTCTGCCGCCATGTGCTGGCCGCGTGTCTCGTGCATCGAAGCCGTCTGAAGCCAAGACACCAGAGCTCCTAAAGGCCGACCTTGGCCCTCCGCCCAGGCCGACAAGCCGCTAGACCTCCTCGCAGTGCGTTGCCTGAAACAATTGGTGTGCTTGGGGCACATGGCCTTGAACCATTGTTCCGTCATGCTGAACCGCACGGACCCCGTGCCCTCGGAGAGGTGAAAGCACACTTCAGCTGCTCCAGCTTGGTTCACGAACTCCAGGCCACTGGGTAGCCCGCTGTCTGCAGCCGCAGCGTCAGGCGGCGCTGCCGAGTCTGCTGCCTCGACTGCAGCGCCCTCCTCGTCGATCTCCTGATCACTGTCTGACTCCCACAAAATCTCCCCGACGCCACCTCCGTCGTCGTCCGGGTTCGAACCTCGATCTGATCCAGCAGACTCTCCCTCTGATTCCTCGTGGTGCACGTCATGCTCCTCCAGCTGAACATCATCTTCAAGAGCATCGGGCGCAAACTCCGGCATGTCTCCGCCCCGTCTCCTCTTCGGAGCACGTGCACGTGCAGAGTCTTCTCTGCCTGAACCTTTCCAGATGTAGGGCACGGCATCCATCCCCGACATTGGCTGCACGTCGAAAAACCCTGGAGGCATATCCTCGTCCGGCAACCAATGACCCTGACAAACCAATGTCCAGAAAGACAGGCTGTACGAGCGACGCAAATCCAGGAATCGATGCAGTGCCTGGAGGAGGGTACATATATCTCCACTCAGGTCCGCAAAGGACGTCACATGTGCCTCTTCCAGCGTATCCGGTGGCACGCCACGATCGCCTGTGCAAATCTTCCCTAGCTCCTCAAGGCACAAGGTCTGCACAGAGTCCTGTCCAGGTTTTTGCACCAATCGAAGCACAGACATCCGCCAAGTCTTGTAATTGGTGAACCCGACATGGAAAAATGTCCTCTTTCGGAAACTCTGATGACTCTGATGCTCATCAGAATGCCTTGCCAGATAGGCCGCAGCGGCCTCTTCGGCCTCGTCCGGCTCGTCCTGCTGACTAGCTTCCACTGGGCACGTTCATCTAGACTGTGTACACTCTAGGCGACTCTAGACGAGTAATTAAGGCTTATGGCTTATAGTAATATACCATAACTATGGAGTCTGTTAGCCTGATTCGAATCTATATCAATGCAGATACTTGTTTCAGCGCCATACTACTTCACCATGCTATACACTATTCTCGAGTTGGGCTTGTTTGTGGTGAGTTCGGTGATTCAGGCTTCAGGCTTAAGGCCAGGGTTGGCCTTAACAACAACTGCGTTTGCCGCTTACAAACCCGGACAGCTGTCGTGGTTAGTTGCAAGGCAGACTCATGCGCTTTCACTGCCCAATTGCCTGCCTGCATCTCAAGCATCAAAACCATTCGAGTATCTTCGAGGAGAGACCGTTCAGTGGTCTTCGGCTTGCAAGCGCTCTTGACAACACGAACAATGTTGTCGTGAAGCCGCATCGCCCATATGTGCGTCTGTGGTGCATTGCGACAAACGCACATGCCCTCTCGCAGGCATCTCGTGATCTGGAACGTCCGATGCTGGAATGTAATGCTGGGTTGGTCTTCGTGTCGAATGAGAGCACAGCGACAGCTCCAGTATTGCTGCAACTTGCCTTTCAGCCCGCTGGATCCAACATTGTTGTCCGTGCTCAACGCTGCCTGCGCGGAAAACCAAATGTAGTTTAGGACACGTATACTAAGTACAAGTGTAAGGGACATCCCTTCAAACGTCTATGGAGTCTGTGGCCTACGGAGTTTAAGCTTCCCTAAACCCTAAACCTAAACCCCTAGGCCCTAAACTCTGAACCCGAGAGTTTTCAGTTTAAGGTGAAACCCTAAACGAGTCTAAACACTAGATTCACTAGATTCACATTCACTCGATGCCAGACATTGTAGATTATGAGATTATGTCGTCAGAAGACACTCGCGGACTGTGGGAGGGGGTGGTGGGGGGTGCATGGGTGCATGCGCAGATGCTGGCTCTTGCTCAAGTCCTCTGTGTGTACGTGCAAGTGCAAGGATGCAAACACTGCAAAAAAAAACATCACGTGAATCCGGACACCCGCCTCGGTGAAAGCACGACACGGAGGAAACCAGTGCAAGTGAGCAACCAGATGCTCAGGACCACCGTAGGCCACTCCGCATGTCTCGCTGGGGGCGACATTGTCGACGAGGTCAGGTGTTCTTGCCAACACCTCGTCCTGATGCGCCTGCCGAATGCTCTTCCGTGCCGCCTCTGCAGATTGCAGACTCTGCCGCTCGGCACGGAACCTTCTACGAATCTCTTGCAAATCGTCTTCGAAGTCTCGGGAAGCTAGCGGAATCCGACAGACAGCCAAATTGGCCTCTGCTTCCTCCCGGTCATGTTGCGGTAATGCATCCCCTGGCTGCCAAGCGGGCACCGCCTCATCCGGCTCACGGCCTCGAGATCGAGCCCCAAACGCAGCATGCCCTGATCTCCATGCCACGTTCCCCAGCTCGCCCAAACGCACGTACTTCTGCTTCTCTTCGGGTGGGAGCGAGTGGTACTGCTGAGTGATGCGCTGGATACTCTGAGCTGTAAGCTTCTGTCCGGCGTGAACAGTGTGGACGAAAGCTCTGTAAGCTCCTCCTCCGCCTCCGCGTGCTCCCTCTTGCTTCCCCTGCTTGGGGGCCTTGTTGGGTTTCTTGTCTTGCGGCTCTGCACGCCTGTATGTGGAAGGTGCATGCTCTCGCTCCTGACGGGCAAGTCGTCTGACGGTCCACTCTGCAGCCACTTGCGCCACTTTGGGTACGTGTACATGCGTCCCTCGAATGTTTGCCAGACGCCTCGACAGGGCGTGCCTGCTTTCCACAGGAGCAATGTCCAAGTCCAGCGTTGAAGCCAACATGGCCAAGGCTGCAGCCGCATCCTGGGTGTACTGCGGAAACCATGTGCGGAATGAACTGCTTAGCTCATCCATTAGGCACGGAGGATCATCTGGGTAGGCGCCACTTTCCAGGGACAAAAACAGTCGGTATGCACTGCTGTTGCGCCGTACTCGAAGTAATTGGTGCATCGAGCAGAGCGCACGACTTGCCAGCCTTGATAGTATTGCGCGAGAGGACAGTGTGCGATCTTCGGCCGCAAGAGCTTGTGGACAGCAAAGCAGGAGGTGCACAAAGCCAGCGAAGTATCTAGAAAGATCTTCTTGTTTAGCGGCCTGCAAAATGCGGAACATGGGGCTCTCTCCCGCCGCCACTTTCAATTGATGTTCGCGCTCCCAGTCCTGAGATGCCCTGCGCATGCACGAATGCATCACTCTGTCCATGATTTGGAAGCACAGCGACAAAGCAGTGAGCCGTGTCAGAGGCCGGGAAAGACACCATTGACCAGCCTTCGTTTTGAAGGCTCTGTTTCTCTCCACCCACACCGCCGCATCATCATCCTGGCATAATAAATATAAACGGGCATCAAGAAACTCGAATCTCCGGAAACCCGATTCTGATGAATATTCCGACCAAGCGTAGCAACAACCAACCAAGCATAGGCATAGTGAATAGTGAATAGTGACATAGTGCAGAGTAAAGTAGTGTGTGTAAAATTGAAGGCTGTGTCACACCCCACGCCCACCCCGAGAGAGCGAGAGAGGACACACTCGCTCGCTCGCGGCTCGCGTGCTGTCTCATGTGCTCACGCACGCATCGGACATGCTGTATGCATGGCCGCCGACATATCTGTGCAAGACTTTCCGGCTTTGGTCTTAGGGCCAACTCGTGAGATCGATCCTACCGTACGGTTATTTTATTTTTTTTACCGAACCCCCACATAGATTAGGCGGTCGCACCCCAGAGAAACGAATGGGAATCATGGTACCTATGGTACCTATATTAAACGATAGCACCTATAGCAGTTCCTCTATGACCACACGTACGAGACAGACGTTGTTACAAGACGGACCCTGATTCCGACGATTCATGTACGCAACGGCACTCTGACACACGCACACACATACACGATGAAAAACTGGGTTTTACTAGGCAGCGGCACTCATGCGCCCATACGCACACGTACACAAATACAGAAATACAGAAACAACAACAAACACGTCAACAACATACTCTTTGACACAGACACACACATACACACACATA